GGAACATCTTGCCAGACTGTTCGCTTAAGGAAAATCTTCAAAACGGATTCCTCTCTACTCTTCTCTTTCCACACGATCGTTCTCCTCATCTCCGGAACTCTTCAACCTGTAATGACTAAAAACAACTGGAAAGACTCGATAAAACCATTAAAACCATTAGTAAAGAACACCTAATCTATGTCAAAAACACAATATATCACAATCTAATATGTTTATATAAAATTTATAAAATAAAGACTAATTCATCACATAATCTCAAACGTATATTCTATAACTACTCATAATACAAATACTTATTCATTTTATTAATTTTAATTTAAATATTCATTATTTATAACAGTAATGTAATTTATGAAAACCACATAGAACTACAGTAACACTTTTTGGACTATTCTCTCAAATTTACTAAATTAATTGGGTAACATAATTTATTTTTTAAAATATTAAAAAAATATTAATTTAAATGTTAAATATAAATATTAAATTTATATAATATAAATTAATTTGTCGCTATGTTATTGTACTCATATTTTTATAAAAATAATCGTCAAATGCAATTATAATACGATATATATATGATAAGAAATGTGGATGATACAATTTACGGTTAAAAAGTAAATAAAACTACTCGATATAAATTATAAAATTATTGTATTTATGAATTTTATATTGAACAACTATTTAATATGAAAATGTTAAAAATATATATCACCATTCTTTTACAAAAAAAAGAAAAAAAATCTGCGTAGATCACACTCTAGTTTAGAGTATATTTTGAAAATTAAGTAAAAGTCGGTTCATGATCAATACTATTAAAAGAGAAGGAGTCTTAAAAAATCTACTTATGAAAGGTTATTGCACCCTTTCATTTTTTAGTCTAACCTATTATATATAACTAAATCATATAACTACCCTATTTTATAGTAACCAAATAAGATTCTATTATTTTCCATATTTATCTATTACGAAAATTGATATATTATAACTTCCTTTTTCATCTTAAATATCTTTGGCTCATAACTCTTATCTTTGATAACTAAAATCTACGGCTACACTATAATATGACTGACATGTTCGACTACAATATATTTAACAACTACAAATAATTAATCACATTCTTCATGACATATGGATATAACACTTATTTTATATAATATATTATTTAGTATAGTAATATCTGTCACATGCAACAGACATATGCCACACTCAGATTTATATCAAGTTTAGTGGAAGACCAATTTAATAGATTATTTAGTATAGTAGAACAATATCTCTCATGCATTATATAGTTCCAAATATTTATAAAATTAAAATTAATAAATCGAACCATCTGTTAAAAACAAAATTATATATATTATTTTTTAATAAAAAAGTATCTATAATAAAATTTATTATATAAGATAAGTTTAAAACTATTAAAAAACTTACATATTTACACTATTAAATTAGCTAGAAATATATCAAGTAAATCTTAAGTCTCAGCAGCTCAACAAATATATTTTTTATAAAATGCACACAAAAGATAATGAAAGTGAGTAGGTCTAAGTATCAGATTTTCAGGTAGGTATAAATCGGTTCTTTTCAAGTTAAAAAAAATTTGAACATAATTAGGTATTTGAAGTTTTTTGGTTCAAGTTTGAGATGATTCCCTTTAAATTCGGATCGGTTCGAATTCAAAATTTAATTATCTATAAAATCTCTGTAATATTTGGGTACGTAACTGGTACGGATTGGTTTGATTATTTAGGATCCAAAAAGACTTGATATATACCTAACCCCCCCCCCCCCCGAAAAAAAAAATTGAAACACGAAAATACTCAAAACCCAAACAAATACCCAAAATATTGAAATATTCAAAAAAACCCAACATGAACCGATCCGTTTTGACTCGAGAAGTTATAAAAAGGTCCATTTTTCGAATACCCAAGAAAACTTTTAAAAATATTAAAACGTTACCCGAAATCCAAAAATGAAATCGAAAACCAGAACCCAAAACTTAAAAAGTATCTGTAATATCAAAAACATATCTAAAATACTCAAATATATATACATAAAACATTTCAGGTTCTTGGGTACCCGATCAGATCACGGATATGATCTTGACTCGAAAAGAGACATGTAAGTCCAAAAATTTGAATATATAAACCTGATGATGTTGATGTTGCACCCACAAAGTATGGAAAGTGCCAAACATTGGAAATAACCTGGGGAGGAGTTAGGAAGATGAACAAGAAGAAGCGAGAACCACTTAAATGAAGGAATCGTCAAAATACTAATTTACAAATTTTGTATATAAACCATAGAAAAATCCGCGCTTTTAAAGCGCGGGTCAAAATCTAGTTCTTATTAAACTAATGTAACTGCGATATTCCGAAAATACTATGTTTGTGGATTGTTGTAAGTAGGAGACGAATTAAACTCTCAAACCGTTGTTAATAAAAAAAAAAAAACTCAGTTAATGTTAAACTAAAATTATTAACTTAACAATTATTTTATTCTGAAGATATATAATCTATTTAGATGATCCTAAGTCTGAATTATAAATACAACAACCAAACGAACTAGCGGAATATCATTATTTATTTAAGAATGATACAGTATATTCTTCATCTGTCCCCTTCTCCTAGCTACGAAACATTGATTGCTAGTATCAACGTTTAGAAAGTATTTGCACCCATAAAGTTTTTGCGATACGCTGCTGCGTTAGCTGGAGACAACATTTGCCTCACCCCTTCAGCTTTGAGACGTGGACCCAACATTCTCCAAGACAACTAGTAATTTACATCAACAGATATATAAACAACATTATTAGTGTAACATCAAAACAATTAACTAAAAAAACAATCATTTGTATACATAGATAAAAAAAACTAGAAGGAGATATCTAATGGATTACGTACCCACAAAAGTTTGAGGCTGCGCCAAATGCGAAGAGGAGAAGGGAAGGGATAGAGTAAAGTGCCAACAGAGAATAAGATAATGGATAAAAGTTGGCGGATGAGGCAGAGTGGTCGCGGGTTCATGCCACCGAGCAGGGCCATCGTGTCTGACTTGGCAAAGCCACCACCACAATGGTAATCAAAGAAACCCTGTCGCATTGCCTCTTTTGCTTCGTCCGTAGATGCAACCAATATTTGAAAAAATGCACTCCCCAATGTGTCCACCGTTGAAGACATTGGCTTCACAATACAACGCTTATATTATGATTTCTTTTAAGATTGCTAAAAATCATATTTTTATTGTTCATGTTTTATAATAATTATTGAACAAGCCACATTCATAGTATATGTTCATCAAGTCCGGCGTTGCAAAGCCGGATGAAACAATAGCTTTGGCTCCAAAAATTTTTGAAAAAAATTATATATATACAGACCTCCAAAAAAAAATTTTAAGCTTCCAAATTCGTAAAAAAAAATTTTAGGCGAAATCATTAAGAAATCGCCTTAGATTCCATAATTCTCAGAGCCGGCCCTGTATAAGTTGCATATAAATACTCACCTTGCGGATGTTGTAAAAGGACTTGAGGACTGCTGAGACTTTGTTAAAATCACTAAAGTTTCTCAATGGCTTGAGAAGACGACGTAGAATGAGAATATCAGACAGTAGAACCATCATTCCAGACGCAATTACTGGATGACGCATGTTGAATGCATCTCCTAACACAATCACTCCTTTCTTGTCGCCCAATATCGCCGACATGTTCTTTGTTGCCACCACGTCCATTTTTGCTCCTTCATTGATCCCTTTCATTAATATTTCACGTAGTTTTGGAGGTATCTGCATTTAGAAGCGAATAAAATCTCTTGAATCTAGCTAGAGTTTCTATAGTGTAATATTTACAGATCACACATATGTCTTTAAATTTCAGCAAAATAAATAATGTCAATTGCCTAAATATCACTTGGATGAAAATGGTTGATCTGATGTGAGTATGCATATTTACGAATACACACCTTTAACCCCAAAACCAAGATTGAAAACAAAAATCCAAACATACTTTTATATTAATTCATCTTTTCAAAGACATACCTGAGGAGCTACAGTTTTCTTGAAGAAAGTAGTCATTTCACCTTTTGAGATGGAAGGAACATTATCAGGAGAAATCTCAGTAAAACACCGAACTTCAGCGCTGCTATTTTGATACAACAATGTGAATGATGGCTTAGACATTATCAAATGTATGGTGTCTGGTTCTTCAAGCCGACAATTCTTGGAGATGTAACCAATTACAAATGATAGAACCTTCGCCTATTTGATACAATAATGTGAATGTTTGTTAACCAGCTAACTCAAAGAAAAGAAAGTAACATCACCAGGTCTAATTCATCAAAAATTACTCTACTTATGAGAATACTCACATTGTTGTCGTTAAGAGAGCGACGAAGGCGTGAGTAGCAACCGTCACAGACCACAGTAAGAGGTGCCAAGGCTGTTGTTTCTTCGCCTGAGCTGGTTTTGTATGTAACGCCTTTGATCACTCCCTTTTCTTCTATCAAAGATTTTACAGTCCCTTCTTCAAGTCGTACACTGCCATTTAATGTGTATATATAGATCAATGATTTAAAGATACAATCAATGTTCTAAAGCATTGGTAAACTTCTAACCGGTTGCAATATCATATACTTGTTAGTTAATTTAAAAAGTTTGAAATTACTTGATTCCTTACAATGTCAACGGACCATGTCCCATCCCGACCAATAAAAATCTTTTTAATCAGTGCTGTACATTTTTTTTTACAATCTAGAGCATCATTGCTCTGTCTATCTAAAAGGTATCTCTTCTGTGTTATATTAATATTTTAAAATTAATTTAACTTTAATGTTTGTTAAGTAGTTGTACCTCTAAAATAAAGACTTGAAAAATAGCATAGACCCCAAATTTATATAAAAAAAAAATTATTAAGGTTATTAGAAAAAATTATATCCCCAAAATCTCATAATCTTCTTGATAGCTTCTCACAAAATTTCCAAAGTTTCTTCAGTCAGATTCTCATATTTTTATACTCTTTCTAATTTTACTCTTTCTGTTACTGTTTTAACTGAGAGACTTTGGTTAGGTAATAGATACCACTGGGAGTTCTTATAATTAGAGTCATAAAATATAGGTGGCAGAAAATTGTAGATGGATGCATGCTATTGTTTTTCTTTTTCCTTTCTGATTGGTTTTAGAAACAAACATACGTACTTGAAGTGCGAAGAAGCCTTTTGGCATAGTCTCTGGACAAATCGGCCATTGTGAAAAGATCGAGCAGAAGGTTCATGAGGAAAGTTGTTATTATCCACTGGAAAAGGCAAGATGGTTTTCTTTCCATCTTTATAAAGTGCCAAGCCTGTCACTTTCTGCTCGTCTATTCCCTCCAAACAATCTAATTGAATATCTATACAAGTTATTAAACTCATTATGAAACTAAGGCAATTCACGTATGAAGTGGAGGGTAACAAACCTTGAAGTCCAAGCTTTGCTAGCATCAAACGTCCTCCAGGTTGCATTATCTCACCCATGACTCTTTCTGGTTCTCTCATGTCCTTCTCTATCACATGTACTTTCCTCCCGTCCTGTTATTTATGCATGGTTTTTAGTCATTGTCATCTATTCAAAATTTGTGGAGAAGATAATTAACTAAAATATATGTCAAGCTAGCTAGGTCTAGAATATGATTATTTGCGTTAATGTTTATATTACTTTTTTGTATGTTTTCCAAAAAAAATCTACAATTATAAACATTTTAGAAAAGTCCTTTTTTTTGTCTTCTGATAAAACCTTTTCATGTAATCCTTATGATATAAAGTATAAATTATAACCGGAATAAGATATACATAAAGAACATAAATACCAAGGAAGAGATTCTTTAAGATACTAACGAGTTCGAATTTGTCTAAAATTGATAAAGAGAGAAGACTAGTAGAACTCGTCATGAACTCATAATACGTTGAGGGTTAATTAACACATAAGACATCTTGGGTTTTAAAACAATGAAAACGTAGAAACTTTTCCAAATTTTTAAAAGATTTGACATTTGACAGATATAACACAAACCTTAGCAAGAGCATAGGCAAGAGCAGAGCCGCCAACACCGGCTCCGACGATGATAACGTCTGCACCACCGTCGTCTCTTCTCTCTTCCACCTCTAAATCCGTCAACTTTGGCTTTTTCTTACTCTGGTTGGCTATGTAGAGCGACGTCCACGTCAACAGAAACGCTAGTACCGTCCATAACCACAAGTACGGCGAAGCCATATCCATTTTATTAAACCGTTTGTTTTATTAATTGCGTTAATTAGTCTTTTTTTTTCTTTTGCTGATTTTTGTATGATACTATAGTCTTTGATATGGTTTATAAGAGAATCCGTACAGCGGAGTGATATATATAGATCATCTGAGATTTTCTGTCGGTACGAACATCACGTCATCACATGAGATGTATATAGAAACGAAATTGTAAACACACACACGCATCTATATGTTAATATGCATAGCAACGAAGGTGTTACATGCAAAAACAAATCCGATATACAAATTCGTCATATACAAATTCGATATACAAATTTCAACCATACAAATTCGAATATTACTCTTGTCTGACGGTCAATTCGTTATATGACGGTCAACCACTTTTGCTACAGATTTTCTAATAACTTCTTTACGTTTTTATTTGTTTCACCATTTTAGGGGTGTCATTTGACCCCACTATGGCCTTAGTGGGTCCGCCTCTGTTGATTGGTATGTATTGCCTTCAAGCATGCATATCATGTCATATTTCAACCATTTTACTGACATTCCTCACCAACAAAAATGAAATAAAAAGTAAGAAAAAGATGAAGTTTCTCATTTGAGAATTTTCAAAAACTCAAACTCCTATAGTTAATTTGTGTCTTTTATTCATTGGATTTTCTTTTATTTTAAAATTAAACTAATTAAATAATAAAAAAATATTTCTATCTTAGATTCAATACTTGAAATATTATTAGTTTTCGTATGAGATAGTTTATAAGAGTATTTTAGAGCTCTAATATCTTATTATTAAAGTATAAATATATTAAACATGGAGTTCATCATTTTTTTATCCGATCAATGAGTTATCAGAATTTCAAATAAATACGAATCTCACGTAATCCACGACCACGAAACGAGACGATAAAGTTAGAATTGGTTTTAGTTGCGTAGGCTATATAAGGTCGACGACTTCAAATAGGAGTCAAAGGCCAATGGAGTATGTCACTCATCGTTCCATGGCGGTCCATATAATTTTAAGGAGGAGGTTAAACTCGTTTCTTGGCTGCTTCCCCCAGAACACGTCAATAGAAATCTCACCACAAAAGTTTATCAGTTATCGAGACGATGACAACCCTAAAATATATCTTGAATTTATCCTTTTGAAGATTTTCTTCTCCAAGAAAATTATAGTGGATCAAACGTCACAAGCGGGCCGTGGATTTTTGAAACCTCCAAAATGGCCTCTTTGTGATCATAACTTTCAAATTTAATTTTTGGTTGAAGTAAATAAAATATTTTAGTTGTGAACAAAAAAACATTTTAGTAGAACTTTTTTCAAAATAATGGTCAAGCTTTCAACATGCAACTTGGATTTACAAGACCATTAAACAAACTCAATGACGACACATAGCCACAAAACCAGTTTAAAATTTAGGGCTTAAGAACTAAGTATGAACTTAGAGGCCGCAAGCATAGGTTAATATGCTTACCACAAAAGGTCAGATTTTTCGACATCCTATCTATCATCTATGTTAATATTCTGTGACTTCCTGCCACTTGAAAGCCGTATTCTAAAGGAACTACTTCCAGAGGACATGCAGAGTGTAAGGTAAGCAAATGTTTCTCAGTGCAATAACACATATATCAACAAGCGGGGATAGCTCAGTTGGGAGAGCGTCAGACTGAAGATCTGAAGGTCGCGTGTTCGATCCACGCTCACCGCAATTTCATTATCATTTTTTCTACTTTCTAAAATCAAATAACGTGTAAAAAGGACACTGTTAAATTCACTGTCCTAGTTTGCTAAAGTTTGAAGCAAAACCACTTCATATTTTATCACAAATTTAAGCTCTTAACTTTCATTTTAATCCATAAAGTTATTGAGGATGATTTTTTTTTTAAATGTTTAGCCACTAATTGGTATGGGTTTTCGGATATCCCTTTGAATATGGATACTATCTATTTAGGTATCAATTTTTGGATTTTAAAAAATAGTCTCATTTGGATATTACAAAAAATCGGACCGGATTCGAGTCGGATCATCTCGGATCCAGTTGGGTTCAGATTTTATCCAAAGTAACCAAACTACTCGATTCGACTCGTATATTTTATATCCAAACTACTCAAATTTATCTAAAATAACTTAAAAACCCGAAAATATTCAATTTATATAGTTCAAATTGATTATTTTGTTGGAAAGTAACCAACAAAATAATGTTATTTGAGTATCTTTTATCCAAAACATCTATTTTTATATATAAATACCTAAAATAACTAATATATTTGATTTGTAATTTTAATTTTAGGTAATAATACTGTTATAAATATAATTTTAAACAATATTTTATGTATATATATTTATATATTTAGGTATGGTTGGATACTCTTTCATTTTCGGTATGGTTTGGATTCGGTTTTGATTTCTCGGGTTTTTAAAAAATGGTCTCATTCAAATATCTAAGCAAGATCCGATTGGATCTGGTATCCTATTTTTAGATCGGTTCGGATAAATACTTCGGGTATTGATATTATATCCAGCCCTAGGCATTAAAGGATCTACAATCATGCATAGCTGTCGTGCTTATTCATGTATGCGCACAAAAACAGAAGCAGATTTATGGGCTCTTTTTTGGGCAGTTGAATGTTTGCATACTCTACATTACTCAAAAATTATTTTTGAGACGGCTTCAGAAAACCCTTCACGATGTTCTTATTAGGACGGATGACCATAACTTCAGCCATATTCGATACAACATTTTTTTCCTTCTTGCAAGGATAGATTCATGGAGTTTGGACCACGCCCTTCCCGAACGCAATGAAGCTGCAACGGCTATAGCTTTGAGTGTCACGCGTGACCTCCGTCACCAGTCGTACATCGCCTGTAACGCTCCGGTGTGGCTCCATCATTTACTCGCTTTGGAGGCTCAGCAATGATGTTTTAGTGAGGTCCTTATCACTTTTGTTTGGTGTCTACTGACATCTCATATTATCTCTTTTGTTCCCTATATTGTATTATCGAACTCCTAAAATCAATTCAGAGTTATAAAAAAAAAGAATTTATAGAGAAATATACACCGAAACAATTTAAGAACATGCGATAGTTGCGTGTTATTCAATTAATGGGGTTACTTTAATCCAGCCAGAATGTTAGTGCCCTTTGAACTTCTAATATGTGAAATTAGTTTTGATACTATTATTTTTAAGATGATCTGATGATCTGATGATTCGCAGTCCAAGCTCGTACATCCTTCATTTGAATTAATTGTCATTGGTCTTGTGATCTCTAAGCTTCTCTTTTGATATTTTTGTAACTTTACTAGTGGCCCTTGGTAGTTTCTAGTTATAGATATATTCTATCAATCTTTAATCCGTAGGATCAAGTCTTATAAGGGTTTGTAATTAATCTTCATGGCTGATGTGTTGGAGGGGAGCCATGATCACATCTGATAGTGAATCTTGGTAAGGATCTAAATATATGATGTAACTTTTGAGTTAGAAAGAAAAAAAGTTTTACTTTTTCATTTTTTACTAGTCCAAATAATCAAGTTGTCGGAAAGCCCATCAAATGCACACCTTTCGGGGCCCATTAGCCCATTAATCTCAGGATAAAGAAGAGAACCTTTGTTTGGTTCTGAAAAGAAAGAAAGAAAAGAAAGCAAAGCAAATCATTAGGACACAAGAATCATAGGAAGCAGAAGATGAAGAAAATTCCTCGTATCAAATTTCCTCAGAGACACTCCTCTGCTATATCCTCAGGTTATCATTTTTCTTCTTAGTAGATTATCATTAACTGCTTTGTATTTTGGTTCTTGCTTTATTTTAGATGCTTATTGCTCACCCCTCAGCTTTATAATTCATTTATATTTTTGGTTTAACAATATTATACTTTTATATATTTATTTTATATAAAATATTAACTATATTCAAAATTATATTACAAAAAATATTTATTATGTATTAGTTACTGATTAAAAATTCTATGATATTTTATTTTTAAAAATATAAATCAAATGATAATAATTATTTAGTGATTTCTTACTTAAATAAAATAAAATATTATAATTATGTAAAAATAACTTAAAAATATAAATACTAAAATATAATTATGTTTAGTTACAAATTTGAATTAATTAAGAATAATAATTAAAATATATTATTAAATAAATATAATAAACTATGTATATTCATCCTACACCAAATTAGGTGGGACGATATTATTTTTAGTGTGTCAATGAAGTTAAAATTATACCAAATTTAATGTTTTAGTGTCTCATTAGAAAAAATTCTGAATTATTGTTCTTTTAAATTGATTATTTTATTAGGAAAGCTGCAATACAGTACGGCAACAATAATAATACTAATAAAAATATATTTTATTATCATTAACAACAATAGTGGTAATTAAAAATTCTTTTTAACTAAATTAAATTAAATTTGATTAAAATATTAAATCAAATATGTGATATATAATTAAAAAGTGTACATAAGCAAAAAAATTACATAAAGTAATAAGTATACAATCCTAATAATGATTATGGTTGGAAAAATGTAAATGGAAAGCTATGATAAGAACCTCAATCATAAAATGTATTTTTAAGATTGTTATTAGTAACTGATATATATGTTCATTAAAACTATGGTTTTAAGTAAATAAATTTCTAATCATTCAACAATTAAAGGTAAATTTAGTGGTATTAAAATTCATTATATGAATCTAGCTGGATATATTAATTTATTGAAACACGACTTTAACTTGAATTAAAAGGTTTTCTTACGCAAACCGTTTTGCTTATTGACAACTTGTTAATAAAATAATTGTTTGTAGACTTTTGCACGTTTCAATACAAAAGAGATGGTCCCATTTAGTGTCTTCAGATCCCTATTCATTGTTACCCATCTTTACAAAAATGTGTCTTTTTTTCGACGAATCTTTACAAATGTTATAACTGGTGTCCTTGATCGGACTCATTTTCAGATTCGATTTGGATTTCTATAGATCTCTTGAGTCTTGAGAATATAAAAAAGGTACGTTATTTTCAGTTTCCTTAATTCTTTTCTAAATTTTCTTTATACCTCTGGTATGTCTTTTCATCATCTTTGAATTTGATGAATGAAAGTAAATGATGGTGATATAGAATCAAGAACATCTAATTTTTTGAGCAGGTAGAGGAACACATGGAAGAAGAAGATGATACAGTGAAAGAGGGGTTAATGGCTTCTCCAAGAGAAATCTTCAGCATTTCAGGCCCCATTCATCTAACTTCCATTGACTGGTATTTTATTTTCTGTTACAACCACATATCATCTTCCAAAATCAATCTCACAAAAAAAAACTTATAATCACTAATCACATATTTTTGCTAATTCAACGGTTTAGCCATAGTCAACTGTAAAATTTCTAAATCTTTTTATTCATCCCCAATAACCTCTATATTAAAATACTACATTCAAACAAAAAACTAAAGTCAACGTCTTTGATAGGAATAATTCATACCACAGAACCTCGGTGGCATCATGTTTGGTACAAGCAGTGTACACACTAGAACGAGACAGACAGCAAAACAGGATTGGTCTCAAGTCACAAGCCCATCATTGGTGGGAGTTTTTCAACTTCACTTTAGCCGAAACCCTAATCGACCAATCAGACGGATCCATATACGGCGCCGTTTTCCAGTACAAACTCTTTTCCTACAATTACCATAATACCCCTTATTCCAAAACACCTCCTCTTCACGTGATAGCGTTCCGTGGCACCATCATGAAGCCGCACTCTCGGTCACGTGACCTTAGGCTCGACCTACGCTGCGTCCGTGATTGCCTCCACGACAGCACAAGATTCGTGCATGCGATAGAGGTGATCAAAACCGCTGTGGCTAAAAACGGCAATGCATCCGTGTGGCTCGCTGGACACTCTCTTGGAGCCGGCATGGCTTTACTTGCCGGAAAGATTATGACGAGGTCTGGTTTTCCACTTGAGTGTTACCTTTTTAATCCTCCTTTCTCCTCTATTCCGATAGAGAAGCTAGTGAAGAGCGAGAAGATTAAACATGGAGTTAGATTTGCTGGAAGTCTAGTCAAAGCTGGAGTAGCCATTGCTGTCAAGGGTCGCCACCATCACAATAAGGTATCATCTCCATTTTATATTGAATGTAGTTTAATATTTTCACGTGAATTAAAAAAAAATCTCAATCCGAAAACATTTACTTAACCATATATAATATGCAGCTCATTATTGAGATCCAAACCCTTATAGCATATTAGTGACACTTCTTGCTGGTTTGCGAAAATCCGGATTCAAATCCTTATAATTATACATGGGACCTGACCTGAGATTTATGGGACATAAACATTTATTTAAAAACTAATAAAAAATTTATATATTTTGGGAGTTTTATGTCTATGTATATATAACTTTCAACAAAATTGAGGGAGAAGACCAATGTTTCACTGGGCTGTATCTTTATAATGCATGCAATGACATTATATAAGAAACAACAAGATAGAGAATTGACATTACTGAATGATAATATGCATTGGCATTGTTAGTGTATAACTAAGTGTTGATGGGGGGATATTGCATTGTGGCTTGACATTGAGGTTATTGGTTTGAATCTTAACTATTTACTGCAGGGTCAAGAAGACGATTCGTTTATGAAACTAGCATCATGGATACCTTATTTGTATGTGAATCCTTTAGATCCAATCTGCTCAGAGTACATTGGTTACTTCAACCATAGAAACAAAATGTTTGAGATAGGAGCTGGAAAAATCGAGAGGATCGCTACGAGGAACTCACTAAGGAGTCTGTTGACCGGAGGAGGAGGAGGAGGAAGTTCTTGTTCTGATTCTTCATCAGAACCTCTTCATCTTTTACCATCGGCGTATATGACGATAAACACTAGCAAATCCCCTGATTTTAAGAGGGCTCATGGGATCCATCAATGGTGGGATCCTATGTTCACTGGTGAATATGTTTTGCATCAGTTTAATCAGTGACTTCCACTATTGTTGCTTCAGATACTTCAAATCTTTTGATCTCATTTTTTTTCTGTTTTTCAATTTTTTCTTGTTATAATATGTAAAAGATCAAGTTTGTGCATGAGTATTTGACAGAAATAATATAACATTTAAGAATAGTTCCAGGGAAGCTCCTGAAAAAAATCAAGTTATGCAGAAAAATGAGGTACCTAAGACCTTTGTAACTAACATATTTAAATTGCAAGGAGATGGTTCCTCCCTTGTTTCTATGCTTTTTTGGTTCTTTGATGCTTTTGTCACGTAGGTGATTTAGTAAAACAATATTTTCGCAACCTGCATGGGTTAGAAAGATAGGTTTTGAAGCTCCAATTCTTCGTCTTCACAATATAACACAAAACTTGGAAACGTCGCCTTTATGTCCCTACATACATTTACAAGAATTTTCTCATCAAGCCATGGTTCAGTCGATCAACCCAACGGCCGGGTTGGCCCAAGTTGGTTGCTGCCGGGAACATATTAGATTAGACACTAGCCTTTGTATAGTAGTTTCTTGGAGTTTTCATACATATGATGAATAATGGGTAATGACTTGTGGTTAATGAACTAACAAACTATACCGGAAAAATAAAATTGATGTACTAATTATAAACTCACTTTAGATACGGCAAAGTCATGTTCTTCATGAGCGATGGATTCATGGACACAAGATCTTTCCATTCATCTATATCAATTTTCCCGTCATTGTTGCGATCTGTTTCAATAAATGCCTACAAATATACCACATATATCCTTAAAAC